GTTGGAGTTCTTCATACCACCCTCCCTTTAGATGACTTAAGCGTTTCTTGAGATTGCTTAATATTGTCTTGTTCGCGGCTTCAGCTTGTCCGTTTCCTTGCGGATATCGTGGAGTAGAATAACTAACTTTGATTCCCCAGTCCGCACAAAAGGCATCAAACTCGTGTGAAATGAATTGTGGTCCATTATCAGTGACTATTTCGTACGGAACTCCATGTCGACATATAATGTTTTTCCAAATAAAGGTCTTCACCGCCGAATCCTTGATACCAACATACGCCTCAGCTTCAATCCATTTCGAAAAGTAGTCCGTAAGGACTAAAAGGTACTGTACACCTCGAGTTGATTTGTGCAATGGTCCAATGATGTCCATTGACCACCTCATAAACGGGTATGGGGCGGAAATGGAGGAGAATAACTCCGACGGTTGATGGATTAATGGCGCATGGAGTTGGCAGCGCTTGCATCTTTGGGCGAACTTAACACAATCTGTGATCATAGTGGACCAAAAATACCCCATTCTTTTAACTTTAAAAGCCATAGCTCTTCCTGATGAATGACTCCCACATAATCCTTCATGCACTTCGCTCATGACGATTTCGACTTCGGGCCCAAAAATGCATAATAGGTAAGGGTCACTGACACCTCGTCTATATAACGCATCCTTCGACAGACAAAATTTCGCGCTAACGACTTTCGTTTTCCTGGCCTGCCATTTATTCTTTGGGAGCTCACCTGTCATGATGTATTGCTTTATTGGCTCCCTCCAGTCAGCCCCCCAGTCTTTAGCCGGAATTTGGTCAATTTTGTGAAATATTCGTGGCTCTGGTTCGGGATGCTCGTTTGGTTCAAGAATATCCTCCTCGATTAATGGCCCGGTTTCTGACATCGTTTCTGGAACCACTTCTTCAGCTAGGACGATGGGTTCCTTGTTAGATGTATTTGATCCCTTTGATTTCCTGCGTTTGCTGGGTGGCGGTTCGATCTCTGGTTCGCCACGGTCGCGTGCCGCTGCTCGAGACCTTGTGACGACGAGGGTTTCCTTGCTGTCTTGAATGCTTCGCTCCGAGATGCATTCTACTGGAATAACTCTCTTTAACTCAGGATCTGATGTTGAAGCCAATGCGGCAAGTGCGTCCGCAGTTGTATTCTCTCCCCTAGGTATGCGGATTAATTCGAATTTCGAGAAATTCCTAGACAAATCCTTCACCACTTCAAGGTATGCTTCCATTCTTGAATCTTTGGCTTCATAGTCTCCATTAAATTGGTTAACTACTAATTGCGAATCGCAATAAGCCAATATTTCCTTAGCTCCAACTCCTTGTGCTAGTCGAAGTCCGGCAATAAGGGCTTCGTATTCTGCCTCGTTGTTGGAGGCATTGAATAACAATCGGAACGATTGTTCTAGAATTTCTGATGTTGGAGATTCCAACTTGATTCCCACTCCGGATCCTTGCTTTGTTGAAAACCCGTCTACGTGTAATTTCCAAGTTTGGTTCTCAGGTTTCTTTATCGTTCCAGGTATCGGTAGTTCGGTCAGGAAGTCTGCTAAGACCTGAGCCTTCATACTGATCCAGCTTTTGAACTCTATGTCGTACTCGCTTAATTCAACCGCCCATTTCGCCAAACGTCCGGACTGACTTGGACTATGAAGTATTGTTCGGAGTGGTTGGTTAGTTAATACTTCAACCGGATGGGATTGAAAATATGGACGCAGCTTCCGAGCCGAAGTTACCACCGCGAGTGCAAGTTTTTCCATTATTGTGTATCTGGTTTCCGGATCTATCATTGACTTGCTCACGTAGTAAATTGGTTTCTACTCCCCACGGTCTTCCCGAACCAAGACTCCACTAACCGCGTGGTTTGAAACTGATACGTACAAATAAAGTTTTTCATCTACTTCCGGTTTGGACAGTACAGGTGGAGTGGTTAAATATGCCTTAAGCTGCCCAAAAGCTTCTTCACACTTCTCATCCCAAAGGAATCCTTTGTTCCCTTTTAGAATTTGGTAGAAAGGCAACGACTTATCTGTTGACCTCGAGATAAAACGATTCAAAGCCGCAATCCGCCCAGTCAACCGTTGCACTTCTTTGAAGTTTCTTGGAGATGGCATGTTCAGAAAGGCGTTAATTTGATTTGGGTTGGCTTCAATCCCTCTTTCTGTTACAATATAGCCAAGAAATTCTCCGGATGGGACTCCAAATATGCACTTCGCCGGGTTCAGCTTCATTTGATATTTATTGAGAATATCAAAACATTCCTCCAAATGTTTAACATGATCTTCTTTCTTTAACGATTTAACCAACATATCATCTATGTAGACTTCCATAGTTTTCCCGAGGTGATTGTGAAACATTTTGTTCACCAACCGTTGGTAAGTTGCTCCTGCATTTTTCAAACCAAAAGGCATTACCTTGTAACAGTAGATACCTCTATCTGTGATAAATGACGTCTTTTCTTGATCATCGGGGTTCATCATTATCTGATTATAACCCGAGAAGGCGTCCATGAACGTTAACAGCTCATTTCCAGCGGTGGACTCCACAAGTCGATCTATATGCGGGAGCGGGAAACTATCTTTGGGACATGCTTTATTCAGGTCTGTAAAATCGATGCAAACCCTATCTTTCCCGTTCTTTTTCTTGACAACGACAGTGTTTGCTACCCACTCCGGATATTGCACTTCTCTTATGGAACCTATCTTCAAAAGTTTATCCACTTCGTCGTTTACTATTTTTGCCCGCTCCACTCCAAGCTTTCTTCTTTTTTGTTTTACCGGTTTGAAGCTTGGATCCACGTTTAGTTCATGACAAATTATACTCGGATTTATGTCAGGCATGTCCGCTGCTGACCATGCAAATGATGCTTTGTTTTTCCTTAAGAGTTTGATCAAAGCTTCTTTTATTTGGCCAGTCAACGTTGCTCCAATTCGAATTTTCCGATCTGGTTTGTCTTCTTCCAATATCACTTCTACTACCACATCCTCTTTTTCCTGCCCACTAGGAAATTTTTGCCTTAGTCCTTCTTTTGCGGGCTTCGTTAATTGCTATTGGATCTTCAAATGGTGGCTAGCTAAGTAACACGTCCGAGAAGCTTCTTGATCTCCCCGAATTGTTTCCACTCCATTTGATGTTGGAAATTTGATACATTGATGGTATGTAGAGGGGACTGCTTTCATCCGATAAATCCAGGGAGTCCCGAGGATGATATTGTAAGCTGCGGGTTTATCGAAGACAACAAAGTCCACGATCTTCGATACCTTCTTGGCAAGGACCGGTAGCTTGATTGTTCCGAGAGACATGGCTGACTCGCTTGTGAACGCGACTAACGGAGATGGGGGTCCTACTATGTCTCCTCGGCTGATTCCCATTTTTTCTAGAGTACTTAAAAAGATCAAGTCGACCGAACTGCCTGTATCTATAAGGATCCTTGATACTTCGAAGTTAGCGACATCAAGAGTAATGACTAGAGCATCATCATGCGGTCTTTCGAGATGCCGCGTTTCTTCTTCGTTAAATGATATTGGGGCACTTTGAAAATCAATTTCTTCACTCAAGCTTGCTTTGAGTAAGACATTTCGCCTATGCTTTTTGATGGAACTTATTGAATCTCCGCAAAATCTGGAACCTCCTAGAATCACATTGATCTTACCCTTCGAACTCCTTGGTTCTTCCTCGTTGGATAACCTTGGTCTTTTGGAATCTTGATCTTTGGAGTTTTCCTTTGCTTCGTGGTATTCCTTCACAAAATCTTTTATATCGAATTTAGAAAGATCGCCACTAGCCCAAAGCTCTGCGAGGTGCTTTTTAAGAACGCTGCAATCCTTGGTTAAATGTCCGGTTACTTTATGAATGTCGCAATATAGACTTTCATCACGGACCCAAGTGTTTGATCTTCCCTTCCCTTGGAATTGCTTCCCGACGGTATTGTTGAAGGGTTGCGACCCAAACTTCCTTGGTCCTTTGCTCTACCTAGGCTCGAACTTCCTGGCAGGGACGGTGATTGCTGGCTTTTCTTGCTTATTTCTTTAGGCAAAACTTTCTTTTTCGTCCTCTACCTCCATCCAGTTGTTCGCGCGAAAGAGTGCATCCTGAATTGTGTCTGGTTTATGAAGTATTAAGTCTTCTTTAAACCTTGAATCATGTCGCAATCCTTTTCGTAGGGCAGATAAAGCTGTTTGCTGCGAGATTCTTGGGAGTTTTGACAGCACTCCTTTGAATTTGGTGATGAAAACTTGAAGTGACTCACTAGATCCTTGCGATAAGTTCCAAAGATCAGCATCCGAAACACTTTTATCCATAAGAATGGAATATTGCTTCAAGAATACGGCTGATAGTTCGTCGAAATTGCTGATCGAACTCGGCTCTAATTGGGTGAACCACATTAGAGCTTGGCCACACAGATTCTCCGAAAAAAGCTTGCAGTAACCTGCATCCTCATCAGCTTCATCCAATTCGACTCTTCCAGCAGCGATCAGAAAAGCTGCGAGATAGCTTTTTGGATCCTCCAATCCGCTGTAAGGGTCCAACTTGAGCTTCCGGGAATCTTTGATCCTCAAACTTGCAATTCGCGGGATAAAAGGGGTTCGCCTAGCTTCTTCAATGACTCGATTGATGTCTGGCTCCGAACTTGTAGCCTGATGAAATTTTGATTTCATTTCTTTTAATTCCTGGCTAACCTTCCTCATGGTCTCGAACTGGTCGAGGTTCTCCTGCTCGTACTGAGCTGCAAGTTGTTCTTCATCCCCGAGTTGCGTCTCTTCTTCCGACGTCTGAGCTACATTATTAGTAGCACCGGGAGTTGTTTGTCCGCTGGTTTCATTTCGTGCAGCGGAACTTGGCGAGTTGAATATCCCTCTTCGGATTCCCACCGGGTTTCCTGCACTTAAAGAGCGAACACGAGTTTGTATAGTATTGACGTTTTGACTAAGAGATACCTGGGATGTTTGCAATGTATCGACGGCCTTTTCCACATCCGAGAACTTTTGTGATATGTCCGACATGGTCTGGGATGTCTCAGCGGCGTCTCCTCCGGACATTGTTGCTTATCTCGGAAATGTAGAAAAGAAAAAATCTGACCACTCAAGAATCCTATAATCCCTACAGACGGCGCCAAAATGTGGATGTCGGATTCACACACTCAAGTATTTTGTTAAGTGGGAAAGATTATTCTTGAGGGACAAAAAATGAATATGTAAAAACTTATAAATTGATACGAAAATTGCTATAGTATTTCTCTCTTGAGAGGAAGATCCCCTTTACATGGCCATTGGCCTCTATATTTATACATAGATAAACGACATTAAAATGAATAATTAAGTACAATTATTTCTTCTTAAATGTGTCCGTTTTGATTCTTCGGCTTTAATGCTCAACGTTTGAATTTGAGTTGACTCTGATCTTCATGGGCCTCGCCTCTTTTGGCCCAAGTGTCCTTCAACCGACTTACCCGTGTCTTCTACACCGAACTCATGTCACAGTGCAGTCACTTCGGATTCTCGAAATGGTGACAACCACTTCGACCGTCCCTTCAGCTCACGGGTCCAATGGGCTTCATCCTTTATGGGCCATTATCTTGATTACGTGGCAATCTTTGGTTGGTCTCGTACTTCTGGTGCAGGATCCGACACCAACAGAAGCTACTACTATTCTCTATGATTACGAGAGAATCCAAAAAAGATGCTACTTCTGTCAACGTCTTACTCATGAGCGTCCTAATTGTCCTCTGTTCAATCAACAACAGCTAGCCTTGAAAGGAAGTGAACCTTCTCAACATGTTGCAGAGACAATATTGGATTCTTCTTCCTTGAATTCTCCAAACTGTGCTGGTCGGATTAGGATAGATCCGATGGTCCTAGAAGAGTTGCGACAGTTCTTTGTTGCTTCTTCAGAATTGAATAGATTCTCTTCTCAGATTCAAAGCACAAGTTCTGAAGACATAGTTGAGATGGATCATACCATAACTCTAAATCCAGTCTCCACTGAAGGTAGTGATCGATCTAAAGGAAAAGCAATTGTTCTGGAACCTGAGAATAAAAAGGCAACTTCAGATTCTTCCAAAGAACCTTTTTCTAGACAAACTTTGAGTATTCTTTCCTCCCCTGATTTCATAACTGATGGATCGGCTGTAATCATGAAAGATTTTTTTGGTAACAAGGGAAGCTTCACTTCTGCACCTTCATTCTCTGAAGCTGGAACATCTAAACCTTTTACAAAAAGGGCCTATGTTCGGAAAAAGCCATACAAGTCTAGAAGCAATCTGAAAGGTACCTCTCTTTCTTTATCTGTAATTCCCTCTATTATAGATAAAGGTTTAGAGGAAGGTATCAATCTTAAAAGGAAGAATTTAGAATCAGAAACTCCTGCGGGTTCAGTTAAGATAGCAAAACTATCCAAAAATGAGATGGTCCCGTTTGAGGGACTGTCTGACCATTAATGAGCCTAATGAGTTGGAATTGTCAAGGATTGGGACGGTCTCAAGACTTGACAATTCCCCGACTCATGGAAATGCGTAAAGAACAT